AAGTGTGTACAGTACAGTGTGGCTCACCTTTAAATTTTACTTTTTAATGTTTTGTGGCCATTCTGCGTGTCACTGGTGCTACGACACCGTTCTGTCAACCGGCACTTGGCTGATTTATTCAAATTTTATTCTGTTGTCATAATTCTTTTGATTTTTTGTTGTTGTTTGTATTGGCAACGTTGCATCCCAGGCGCTATTTTATTATATATTTTTTCTCTTAATATACTCGTACTTATTTCCATCCTCCCGTTGGAGAACGTTGAGAATGGAAAGATATGTACTTTAGTTTGCTTATTGTTTCTCTTTAGGTGTTTACATTTTATTACAGTTTGAATGAAAATAAACATAGGATAAAATTTCATTTTGTTTGGATATACCGACAAAATGAAAACACCGGTACGAACACCGCGAACAATTGGGTTTTCTTCATTCATGTAAGCCCTAAACAATCTTTTTCTAAAATGATTCGTTGAAGAGGTGGAGAAAAAAATATACACATCTGACTTTTAAAAATGGCCGAGTGTTTTGATTATTTAGAAGAAAAAATATTCTTGTCATTGTGTGTAAGTATTTCGTTTTTGAGTGAATCAACTATTTTTGTTCATATACCTATCTTACAAAAAAATTGAAAAACTCGGAAATGGTACATATTGCGAAAAAATGAGAAGAATATTTTTTGTTTCGAATAATGTAAATTAAAAAGAAATATGTAGTCAGGAGCGTAGCAATTCTACTCTTTAAAAAGGGAGTTGTTACCTAAATCTCCGCCACAGTATTGTGAGTTCTATATGTCTTGCGTAGGAGGTGCAAGCTCCCTGTGATTAATAACACAGCCACACACAAAAAAAAAGTTGGGTATAATTTTTATGCGACATATATTTTTCGTACTAATTTGGCCTCCTGAACACGAATCTGGGGTCAGAATTGGCCCATTACGTCACAATTTTTTCCTAACCTCAAAAAACTTGTGAAAAATAGTGAAAATTGATGAAAATTTACTGGGAATATTTCCACATCAAATAGTACATTTTTATGTAAAAGACTGTAGGTAAAAGATTCCACTCCGTCTAAAAATGTGACTTCGCTTAAAAAAATTACTTAAGGACTCTACACGTGTAATGATGTGTAGTGTGATGTGCTTGTTTCCATGGGACAAGACAAAAAAGTTTCTACTAAAGTAGAAAGAATAAATTCTTTCATTTATTTAGTCGTGCATCACACGTTCTAGCTCAATTCTGACAGTGGATTTGAATTCAGCAGTCTTTTACATAAAAATGTACTATTTGATGTGGAAATAAATTTTTTTCCAAATTTTCCCAGTAAATTTTCATCAATTTTCACTATTTTTCACAAGTTTTNGGAGTATTATTTCGAATATCGTAAGTTTTGGCTAGATAAGAGTCGAGTTCATTTGATTTTAAGTTTGCAATTATTTTAACTATAACATTGCGTTGTTGTGTGACTGTATGCCAATCTATATGCAAGTTTATAATGTGAACGATATGAGTAGAAGGGTTTCATTTACGAGTGACACTATCACTATTATTATCGGTAGGATTTTAGGAGAAAAAAATCTGCATGTTTCATCTGTCTCCCCTGGTTATAAAATACGTCAAAGTTATATGACTGTAAATATGCCTATCACCTATGTGCTTTAGGAGTTAAATCATGTTTTCTGTAGGAAGCTTTTAAGGTGTTGCAATATGTAAAAAAAACAGTAAAATGTTTTCCATATAGGAAATGGCGAAAATGTTTGATAGCGTTAACAAAAACTAGAATTTTTAAATCATACGAATAACAACGAGGTTCGCACTAAGTAATTCTCTTACTGAAATATGCTACAGGGTGACAAAAGAAGTCCCCTTTTTTTTTCGATAGAGTCTGGGTGAACAGGGATCTGATGAAAACCAGATGCCATGTTAAGTGAAGTAAAATAGTAGGCTAAGTGCACTCTGTTAATTTGATTGTTTATGAGCGGCAAAGGATATTTATTAGGTGTTGGCATTTAGCTCCCGATAGTCAATACATATGCGGTTCGAACCATGTTTCATTTTAACTAAAATCATTGGACCAGAAAAGGGCGAATTACTAGGAACGATTATTTTAACTTGCAATAATTTATCTATTGTATTACGTACGAAATCTCGTTCAACAGGGACAGTCGATAGGGTCTTTTTTGAACGTATGTAATCGGGTCCTTCAAACGTATTTCTAAGCTACCTGTTTTCACGGTATTTTGACAAGAGCCTCATTAAGTTTTGTTTATTGCTACCCTTAACATCGGTTTGTATGGCATCAAAATTTACAACTAGAGTTTATATAAGATATATCGATAGAAAAATAAGCCATCTGCTTATATCGCACACTGATATTTTGTTCTATTAAATCTTTACCTATTTGAGCAGACATAAAATTATCGGGCACAACAAAAATAATAATTTGACTTGAATTTCTTGAATTACTACGACTATTAAAATTTGCATATAAGGTACCTACTTAAGAAAGAGCCAGAATCAATACCCCTCAGCGAGTTTAAATAAAACGTCCACCATCAAAGTGACCTACGTAACTTTCGTTAACAAGAGAGCAATCTAAACTTGTGTCAAATACAAAAGGAAAGATCTCACCAGAGTTCAGCTTCAACTATCCATATCAACTGGCTGGGTCTGCTTTTCACCCATACATACTGACTCTTTTCACAGGAATGTCGGACTTTGGTTTTCTGACTATAGATAAGCAGTTGGGAGCAACATAGTCCGGTCTTCAACACTTTTAGCAAATAACAACCCTTGATGACGATTCTTGACGATTTCTACAATGGATTGATCGATGTCCATTCCGATCGCAGGTGTGACATTTCACTGGGAAGTTAAGGCTACTTTCGTGCTCGGAAGATGGGGCGCGACGCTTCGTTCCAGTATGATGACCGGAAAGAAATAGCGTCGGAAGCTTACCAAGTCTCCCTTGCAGCATAGCACACATACTTTTAGCATCATTCGGCTGCTCTAGTTGAAATCTTCGTCTAACAAGACTTTCGCGCGTGGAACCAAAGTAACAAACCACCTAGTAGTTTCACCTTTCCGGGAATTCGATAACACCATTATTAGTTCCAGTTCGTCTGGTTTGCTTTTTGTCACCCACAAATCTACTATTGCACATCACCCTTCGGGGTCGACATATCTCAAAAACGGATCAAATGGAGGCATTTTGACATTTCCGCACGATGAAACGGCTAACACAACACTGCAGGATGTCGAGGACAACTGTCTCTCTAACTTCTTCACTTTTTTTCAAACCTTTATCACGGGTTTTCGCACACTCACTTTTTGCACATTTCGTCGTTTTGGCCATACGAATCCCACTTCTGATGTCGGAGACACTTGGTGGACATGGNCGTTTTAATTCCTTGGATAATTTTGAAATATTTAATGTGCCAGTTTGATAAGTTATTCCAATTTTATTGCATTGTTTATTTATTTTTTGTCATCTATGTTCATTTATTCTTAAATTAATGTCTTTCTTAACCTTAGAGTTGCTGACCAACAGCATAAATGTTGCACAATACTAAGCCAGATAATACTGTATGAAATTAAGATACAACTAATTACAGAACACGTTTTTTCTTAGTTGCTAAAAATCTTAACAATATCAATTAAATATCTATTTATTTTTTGCTTTTTACATATTATGTAGTTACATAGGTAGTTTCTACAAACTCATTTTTTCTAAGAACCGAACGGTGCACGTGTTACATTGCTATGATTTTTACATTCATAAAAAAGCCGCTCTTTTTACAAGCTTTTATTTAACTACATATTTATGTTGGTTTTTATGTTTATTTCAAATCTTGCAAGCCAAATTTGAACAACTTCCTCTACAGTTACTTCGCAATTTTGCATGCTTATTCAGTTCTGATGACGATACACTAAAATGTTTTTTTTTTGAGTTTGTGCAAACTGTTACCTATGCCAAATAAGGCCATAACCCCATTTTTCAGCCTTTAATAAATCTAAAATACTTACCTAAAAACAACTCTCTTAAAAAAAGTAAGGTCATCAAAAATTTGCTACAAGTTGTTTTTCTTTGTTTCCGCGACATAAAATTAGATTTTTTCCAAGTTTTCCCCGATTTTTGTTCAACTAGTTTTTATACATATTTCAGTTGTTTTTTTTTCTGTTTATTATGATCAAAATTTTTGTTTAGGTTGATATGCTCAGTATAGTTGTTTACAATGGCTTTAAATCTGTAGAATTGCTCTTTTAATGTACGTCAGTAGGTATTCCGTTCTGGGATTATCATTATTATTAAATATATCTAGCATAATTGATACATTAGATGTAACCTGTTTACTTTATGCTGGAAATTTGAATATTTTCATCACCATCAAAACCTTAGAAGACTAACAATAAGTAGACGACGTAGAATAGTTTATATACCATTTATTTAGGAAATATATTACCACTTAATGCTACAATGCGTACGTTATATCATTTACTTGCAAATTAACTCTTATTTTTAATTACAATTTAGCATAAATTTACAAAGATGACGCAGGTTCCGTGAGTTCGGTGTTATCTTCGATCCGAAACCGACTTTGTCCTCGCACATCGAAACTGTTGTTGGCAAAGCACTCAGCACTTAGAACACTTGGTTGAAAACCTTTTACTATGCCTTTGTTATAAACAGATTAGACGTCACAAGACGTCACTATAAGTATATCCTAGAAGATGTTCAACGAAAATCTTTGAAATTGCTATTGTTGTCTAACCTGACTCATTTTCTGTTTCTTCACTCAATGTTAGACGAATATTTTCCCCAGATTTGTTGGTTATAAAATTATGCATAATAGTATTGACTGTCCATCTGTGCTCATTAAACTGGTTCTATCATAACAAACAGACAAATAAGATCTTTTCATAGATTTCTCCACTTTTTTTTGGGACTGTGTTACTGTTGTTGTTTCTTTACTGTATTTTAATAGAAGGCCGTCATTGTTGCAGGATTTCGTTAAGTGATAGAGGATTTGCGAGTAGCGGCCGGTCATGGATTCCAGCAGCAGCAACCGAGGCTCCACGGGGCAGCTGTCCAGTGCGGGCAGCACGGGCGCCGCCCAGGGTATGCACCACTCGCTCTCGACGCCTGCCGGCGTAGACGGCGGAGCCAGGACGCCGCCCGCCACTCCTAAGAAGGGCGGCAAGATGCTGGCCATCCGGGTCCAGATGCTCGACGACACCGTCACCATCTTCCAAGTGCAGGTGAGTGAAAAATATGAAAACAGTCTAAAATTAACTAATTTAGTTCAGTTCACACATTGCTATTTGGGATACTTGCTTGTTATTGAAAAATTAACCGTTTTCGAGATAAAAGTACACCTTTTTACGTAAAAAAGTTTGAAAATCGTAAAAATTGCGATGTATTGAAAATATTCAAACTGAAAAATTACAAAACTTTGAATAAAAACTGATTCAAATTAGATGAGAAATGTATCTTATGCGTATGTGACCAAAAAATAAATTTCTACACTTAGGTTCAAGGGCTGATAACTCTTCGGGAAGAAAAGTTTTGACGTATTTTTTCTAACACCGAGATATTACCCCCAATTCCTGAACATCCTGTATATTATTTCCAACCAAACCTTATAAGCAAGTAAAAATTCAAAAAAGAACCATAACATATGCCATTAAAGGTGTATACATAGTGTTTCAGTCATAATGTTATAAATTTTAACCACATATTCGGAAGGCCTAATAAAGACAGAAAATCGAAAAAAAAAATTTTTCTCGACCTTTTAAAGATTAAGCAAATTAACCCTTAATTCCCGTTAACTCCACTTCCATAATAGGGAACGCGCCACGCAGGTCAGTGGAGTACACAGCAATCGGACATTGTAGCGAAACAGCTGATTTCCTAATTGTCGTCTCGCCTGGTTTTCGAATTGCTTTCAAAATCAAAGTGCAATGGATCTCAACTTTATTAAGACTTTATGAATGGATTAGCGAGTGCTTTTTAGCCGCATTTGTCATTTTAAATAAGTAGGTACCCATATGAGTAACTAAATAAGAGGGTTTATTTCCTTGTCTTTCATAGGAAGCACCACTTGCTCCAAACGCAACTTGCGCCATCTTACACCCGTTCTACGAACAAATAGCAGCTGCAACGCAAAACAGAAACTGCAATGACCGTGCTACCCGTCTTTACGTTGAGAATGTAATTAAAAAACTATGCAATAGATGTCGCTGCCTAATATATGCTTTATTACGCTGCAGTTGGCGGCAAATGTGAATATACCATAATATTCAGAATGCTACTTATATATGGAATAAAATTCATAATCATTGACTACAAAGTTTTGTAAAAAAAACATATCAGTTCTAATGTAAAAATTGACCTGATTTTTTTTACAAAATTTTGTCTTCCCTTCAAATTCATGACATTATGACTGAAACACCCTGGTTTTTATATGGAAACCTACTACTTTGCTTTGGACTTATCCATTGGATATTTTTCATTTAAATAAGTATGAAATTGTATAAATCTTTCATTCAGGTTGATCTTTATTAACTGGTAAATAGTTTCAAGAACTTCATTCTTTAGTAATTCGTTAAAATTCTTTTAGGAAAAGAAGAGTTTTATTTTTTCTTTATTTTGATCAGAGCCTGTCGTAATGGCTCAGTTCCACAGTGTATAGATGAAAAGCGTTTTTCTATCGTGCCTCCTTTATCCATGCGAGATTGACTGAATTTTTTATAAGTTTTCTTTATTTGAAATGTCGAACGTGAGCTCTGAACATTTACGTCGAAGAGGATTAAATTTGGTTCGTGCTTAAAGAATTCAGGACAATGCTGGTACATATTGCAAATTACTTCTTTAATTCTGCTTAAAGTTTGGATAAATAAAAATACCCGTGCTGTCCAAATGTCTGTACATACTTACTTAAATGAAATTTTTCAGAAAAATATATATACCAACACCTACATAGTTTTTTATTAAAAGTATATACATATTTACATCGATCGAATTTCACTTGAATTTTTCCATAGATCTAATCCATCAGATTTCCATGCTAAAAAACTTCTTAGCAGCATTTTCCTGGCTTTTCACTTAATTTATTTTCGGGGAATCTGTGACGCCAATGCTGTTAACAAAAGTAACGCTCGTATCAGTGCTTTTAAATGTACATATGAATAAAATTTATTCTAAAGTAAAATACATCACTTGTCAGATTATTTGTGTATCCTAATTCTTTGTATATAAAAATTCCTGATTTATTGACACTTCAAAATAAATTTTGAAGCTTTACTATAACACATCCACTTATATTAAAAGGTACGGGTTGTATATATGTAAAGTAGAAATAAAATATAATTTTGAATTTACACCCGAATTAAACAGGCTCAAGATAGATTTGATTGATCGGATGTTTTAGCTGTAAAGTGTTCGCAAGATATTTTCAGCTTCTAACAAATAAATATCAGAGTATAAGAGTAGCAGATTTATCATGTGACTGCACCTTTTATACATGTTTATTGAGAAATAAAAATTAGCCCGTCTGTAAAATATTGTGGTAGAATTTGAAAATACTCAATATTCAGTTCATTATTTATTTTTGATTTTATTGGAGTCGGAGTTATTTGGATTTAACGATCCATCAAACGTAAAATTATTATCCAGTTGAATAGTTTTTCGCAAACATCAAGAGTGGTATTTGGTGCAATAAAGCCAATGTTATAGTTAATAAAACTGAAATTTATTACTTTAGTGTCGTTCCATTAATGACATGATTAGTTTTAAAAGTAGCGTGACAATTGAGTGAATCATTAACTTGTTTTAAAAATAAGTGTTGCTTTTCATTATAAAGCTTTATCGTATCTTCATTACTTCACCCTATTTTAGGGGATATTTTAGAGTTTTACTGGAAAATGGTGTAGTAAATCGGTTTGTGGGTTGCGGATTGAGATTTAGCATAAAAAAATACACAAAATATATGTACTCTTGTCCCTCGTACAGAATTTTTTTTGCGGCACGTCCTGTCTAATGAGATATTTCAAAAAGTAAAAGTACATATCATCTATGTTCAGTTGAAGAACTGGATAATTATAATTGTTTTAGCGGGTTTTAGAATTTCAATTACCCAGCCAATGTACATGACAAACATTTTTTAATTGCTCTCTTTTTTATAGCGTTATATGTGTCGGAGACACTTGGTGGACATGGGAATTAGTTTACTTCGTTGTCTCCATCGAAATAATACACGGGTGACGTGACACTATTTATTACAAATACGGGAGCTGTTATACAAGTTATAAAATAGGAACTAACGGTCCGCCACTGTCAGCCCTAGCAACCTGTTCACTACTTCTCTATCAAAACAATAATAACAATAATAATAATAATAGTAAAAGCCACACGGCTATGGTAGTTTCATCAATTGAATGACCCAGTTGCTTCCCGGGCTTTCAGTTTTGTTCCGTTCACAGGGGCGGTACCCAGTGCATTCCTTTTACCCTATCAGTTTACTTTTTACCAGACATGACCATATAAGGAAGTGTTTACAAAAGTTAGATAATGATGGTCTTTCACACACAGACTAAAACTTAACCCTCAAGAGATAATATTTCTGTAACATAAACAAAAACAATCTCTCAACATTCCATCGACGTCGTTCTTCGAGTGGCTACGAATCATAAGCGGTTATAAGGGTGATGCCGACATATATGTATAGTTTGAAGAGGAAAATAGTTTTAGAATTGAATTTTGCACGATATACTG